ACCTCTTGACCCAGAATTCGACAGACGGTACCGTCCAAGTCCGTCACCTGTGGTGTTCATTACCCTCGCGTGACAGACACAGAAGCTGAGATTCAGTACGTGCTGGAGGTGGGTCAGTTGGCCCAGCGAGGAAGTCACGGGACTAGGACTTGAAGGATGTCCCAGGTCAGAGATCTGAAGAACCACCCAACACTGCCTTGCAGCTAACGAGGTCTCTCCCTCATTGTCCAGTGTGGTGCTCAGGGCAGCCGGCAGGGCCCACTGGCATCATGACCTCCGAAAATCCCTGCCAGGTTTTCAGTCTTCAGCTCTGAACCCCTCCCTTTTTAACGCACTGGTAGCGAATTTTTTAATCAACGCAACGCTGGAAGGTATGAGACACACGTGAATTCTGTAATACAGGAGCCAGTGGGCCAGAACTTAACATTACGTTTTTAAAAAAGGGGTACCAGTTCATATAGTTTTTTAAAATTTTCATTGTTTTCATCGTCTAAAAGAAAATTCTTTTACAAACCGTCATGTGAATTGTTTCTGCTTTTCTCTAATCCTATTATTTGGACCACTCATGTTTTCTTACTGCAAGAAGCGTTTTCCACCCAGATTTAAGTGAAACAAATATCTGTTGAGTGTTACACTGAGTGATGTTGAGAGACGGAAAGACTTGAAGTTTACGCTTGATTAGTTCAAACTCTAGTACGGATACTAAGGTATTAGGATAGATAGATGATAGATAGATAGATAGATAGATAGATGATAGATAGATAGATGATAGATAGATAAATAGATAGATAGATAGATGATAGATAAATAGATAGATAGATAGGTGATAGATAGATAAATAGATAGATAGATGAGAGATAGATAAATAGATAGATAGATAGATAGATAGATAGATGATAGATAGATAAATAGATAGACAGATAGTGAAAGGAAGACAGAAGTGGTGAGTCACCCCCGCAGGCTGGCCTGGGGTTTCTCACTAGGACAGTGAATGCTCAGCTGAGCGATAGGAGCATGGGGAGGACCCGGAAGGTTGCTGAACGCCAAGCTCAGCCCTTGGGCTCTACACTCAGTATAACAGACCCTCGACGGCGGTCCCTGCAGGTTGGGAGGTACCACCCGAGAAGCCAGGGACACATCCCGACCTTGGACGCGGTCATGGCACAGACAGGGCGAGACAGACGGTAGGGCTCGGCCAACGCTCCGAAGTCACCTGGGCAGCACCCGCACTAGACTGCCTACGACTGGGGAACGGGCTTTCCTTTTAATTAGGCAGCGTGTTCCTCTCGTCCGGCCCAACTCCCCGTCGGGAAACCCTCCCCATGCTCTCAAGTCCCAGCGTGAACGTCGGTGAATATTTTTTCCCAGAGTTCGTTGACGGGACAAGCTTGTTGTCCTCCACCGCAGGGGGCCTAGCGTGGCCTCTGAGCTCCTGTCAGCCGGTTCTACACACGGGTCACCTGAGTTGTCCCCACTGGGACTGAGAGTGAGCTTAAGGATTACAGGGTTCCTTGCAGAGGTGATGAAAATGTCCTTGAAAACCGACCGTCGTGATGACGGCACGACTCCACAAATATATTAGAAGCAACTGGACTGTACACTTTCAGTGGGTAAATTTCATGCGAATTGGGTCTCAATGATGCTATTTAAAAAGTGAAACTAAATGCACAACATAAGCGATCACTTATAGATCACTGTGGAGTCATGTGCTCACATGGAGTGAGGAGAAGACGGGGTGTAGAGCCCGCTGGATTTTTTTCAGAGCAGGTTTGAAATTCAGCCGACGATTCAACACGAATCGTATGCCTTTGTTTCTATCTATAAGTGGAAACATACAGCATCAAGGAACAGGGACTCCTCACGGAAACCACGTACCAGATCGGGGCGCAAACACTGACCTTCATGTTCCCGAGGCGCCGTGTTCTGTCAACAACAAGAAGTTTCTTAACGAGGTCTCTGTTTGGGGGAGGAGAAAAAAAAGAGCGAAAGCAGCATGTCAACAGCCATAAAATCTACCCTGTACAGACACACGTGGGCAGCGGTTGCAGGGTCACGTGGGCGCCCCATCCCCTAGCACTTGTTTCTAAATAACTCACTCACTGCTGGGCTCTCTGCACACAGGGGCTGTTGCTTTTTTCCCCCTATTATTTAGACCAGGGATCGGCAAACTTTTCAGACGGAAGAGCCGCCAGGGGTCGGCAAAGTGCAGCTCGCGAGCCACATGCGGCTCTTGGGGTGCATTCCGTCTCAAAAGTCTGCCGACCCCTGGAAGAGCCAATCCTGTCCCTCACAACAATTTAAAAATTATTCGAGAGCCATTAGTGTATTTTTACATAATCACCATTATGTGAATAATACCCTGTAAAAATTTTATAAATGAAACTATAATAGTTTTATTTTCATTGTCAATTTGACTTCAGAGCCACCTGTACGCACCCAAAGAGCCGCGTGGGGCTCGCAAGCCGCACTTTGCCGACCCCTGCCGGCTCTTCCGTCTCCAAAGTTTGCCGACCCCTGGTTTAGACCATCGCCGACCCTATGCATGACCACACTTAAAGCTGCTCTACTGGGAGTATAAGGAAACGGAGGTTTATTGAAAACTCAAACCCTTGCAACACAGCCAGGGGACGAGGGGACAATGAAAAAGGCTCCACCCAATATGGCAGAGCCAGGTAGGAAACTCGGGCTGGGTGCATCGATGCTGGAAGGGGCTGTGTGTCTGCTCGCATGACCGACCGTCCTTCACGGTGGCTCAAATCCTAGGTGTTTCGTTAGGGACCTGGTGCCAGTTGGCTTCCCGCTGATCACACACGTTCAGACATGAAGAAACGCTGGTAAATATTACTGGGTTGTCGGAAAAGTCAGGACGTATTTTTTTCTACGTTCTTCGTTGCAAAAATGCAACAAGCCCCAATAGCTTTCCGTCCCCCTTGCATCATATATGCAGAGGGTGCCAAAAACAGGTATACATTTTTATACATGTTTTAGGACAGGAAAAATCTGTATGAAAATTTTCATACAATGAACGGCTAGCATTCATCTGGTTAACGCCATCTTGTGAGCGAACATCATACTACACGTTGCTACCGTAATTCAACTTCGAAAAGTAATACATAGATAACATCTCTTAAAATGTGGACAGTTTTTGGGACCCCCAGTATATATATAAATATATTTAGTCATAAGAATCTCAAACAGACATCTGCCCAGGCCAGTACTTTACACGGTCAAATGCTGAAGTTGTACGCACCAATAGACGAACTTAAAAAAAATCGAGCATCGAAATTCTACCCTCAGGGCCACCGATGACAGAAATTTGGATGACAAATGATTCGTCAGGGTCCTGGGTGCTTGGTCAGCTCCCTAAGCTCTAGCCCATCCCGTGAAGACGTGACGTTCTCCTCAAGCACCCTGTGCTGTCACCAAGTGCAGCCAAGGGTCCCTGCTCTTACCCAGACCCCTCGGTGGTGACATGGGGGGGGGCCCAGGGTGCAGGGAAGGGCCTGGGCAGCCTACATGATGAGGACGTTAGACCAAAGGAAACCAGGCAGCCACTGCTCATTTCTCTTCAAAAGGGTCAACGGCTGAGAATGCAAGTGGGAAAAGGAAGTGCACCAGGGTCAGGTGACACTGACGTTTGCTCCATTGCTACAATATCTGCTTTTCCACAAAACGCCGGAAACCTGCTCAATCTATTGACAGATGCGCTCGGAGCCTTTCACTCAGTATATTGATATAAACGGTCTGTGTCCAAGTCAATGACCCAAGATGTACAGATCGTCCCGCCTCTTGGGGGGACTTGTCTTGAAAGAGTTTATGTCATTTCCTTGCAAGAGGAAAGGGAATAAAATCATATCATCTTCTGAACTGCCTAAGACCATCAGGAGTCTACAAAAGAAAAGAGGCTGAGTGTGAGAATGCAAGGGACAGGCCACAATTATTTCAGCTGAAGCAAGTGCACCAGTGGTGACACCTAACTCACACCCACCGTGGACACGGTCCCCACCCCCACCCCCTGTGTGCATCTGTGCCAAGGCAGCTGTGTCCACANTTTGAGCTCTGAGCAACAGCGGTTCGAGTCAGCCCGAGCTGAGCAGCCGTGAGCTGCCAACAGGTGGCGGGATGGCTCAGCTAAAAAAAACAAAACAAAACAAAACAAAAAACAATTCCAGGAGCAACAATGCTATGTGCGCGCACCTCCCGAAGAACACACAGAGAATTGGGAAAGGTGTGAGATCTCCGTATCAGATAGCTAGGGCAGCTGGAAACACAGCAGAAAAACTATTCGCTGAGTGTAAGAGAAAATCCACCGGACGGCAGTCTTTTGTTTCTTTAAGTAAATTTCACAGCATCTCTATCAGAAAAAGGCGCTGCATTTTTGGCTTATCAGTGAAGCGTTCTTCACGACAAAGCAAACCGAGTCTCTTCATCACTTAAAGACGACTGGATAATAATAAATCATAAAAACGTTACAAACAAATCAAACAAAATCCAAGCAACTGAGTAGATCCGGAAAGATAAAAAGTAAATAAATTCAGGTTTCCACCACGGTGTTGTTTGCACACGGTGTTGGCCCGACAATTATTTTTCCACTCCTCGTAACGGCCATTACAGAAACAAAAATGGGACAAAGCAGACAGGCCAGTGGGTAAACATATCGCTGGCAATATTTTGTTTCTCTTCCCGCACGTGACGTTTTTCTCCCTTGCGTGTTCCAGGAAGGAGAGCCCGATTTAAATGGTGTAACCAAGCGATCTGGAATGGGGGAGTCACTGAAATATCTTTACTCCCCATATGAAAAAAAACTCGGCCCTCAAAGCCGTCACAGGCTGTAGTGATACAGTCACAGACGCTCAGAGAGCCAAGGAAATAACAAGACACAAAATCATTTTTTTTGGAATCCTACCTTAAGCTTGGCAAATCCCGTATGATCACATTTGAACCAAAAGGGACCCCAAAACGCTTCTGAAAACACTTGGTCAGAATTGTGAGGACGCTGCTCTGCACTCGGGGTTTTCGCAACCCAAGAACTCAGGGTTTCTCAACAAAAAGCTGTGTGTCTCCAGGGCTTCCGGCACACACGAAACTAACTCCTCGGGGGTCTTATTTACATGCACAGACTCTGCCCCCAAGACCTGTTCGGGGTCTGAGATCCTGGCGGTGGTGGGGACACCCCCGGGCACACCACACGCAGCGAGCGACACCCACTGGGGTGTTTGTCACGCCGCCACTCGGGAGGACTCCGTCCCTCCGCTCCATCGTTCGTGTCCCAATGTGGATACTTGGTCAACACCATATGCCCTTCACATGGGGGTCCCGTCAACCTCGCTGTGTTTTACTTACTAAAGGTGAACGCATACCTTCCAGATAGGGATTCCTGTCCTTCAGAAATTCTTGAAGACCTCCAAATCTTTGGGTGACACCGGAGGAGCCGTGTTCCAGTCATTCTCAGGATATGCTTCGAAGTTGGAGGTGTCTCCCTCGCCACACACTTTGGGGACGATGGGGGGCTATAAGATGGGTCAAGACACAAGGGCATGGTTAGAAAGACGCGGTTTGGGGACCCCCCCGTGTCTGCGACCATCCACATCGGTGGTCTAGGCTGACCCCCAGGGTGTAGGCATCAGTGTTTTTCTCGTCTCTCCACTGTCTCGAAAGTGCCAGGTTGAGAATGCTGCTCTAGGGGGCTCCTGTGAGAAACATCCTCCATTCATTGGAAGGTGACATTCCCCCCCCCCAAAAATAGACTGCCTCTAATCTACCAGCATCACTGCACAGTGCCCGTAAGGGGGAGACACACCTGTGCGCTTTCACTGACCATTCCCCCTGAGAAAGTGGGGGGGAGGTGGATCAGCCCCATCTCAGCCACAGAGCCCGTGAGGGGTGGGGCCGGGTCTCCAAGCATCCGACTGCAAAAGCTGGGTCTCAACCCCCGTGTAGGTGCCTTTTTAGCGCCAAGACTGTCATTGCACCGGGAGTGTGGCTTACCAAGGGTGTGACATGATTGGCTGTGCTGTGCAAACTAACTATCTGTCAACCACAAACCACTGAGTCGCAGAGTCAGCGATTTTTTGTAAGGCGCGCTCCCCGATGGGGCGTGAAGCGCCACACGGTGANATCCTGCACTCAAGTCGTACGATGATAAGAAGTCACCAACAGGGATACAGTACACAGGACTCAGCCAACACGTGTAAAAGACACGCTAGGTGAACAGACCACTGTAAAAAAGAACCGCTCCGGCATCGAATTTCAAATGCCTGCAACTGGGGCAATCCGGGGCATTTGGGATGCAAACACCAAACTCCAACCAAGTGTCTTTCCTGCACTGCACTAACCAAGTATCCAGCGGGAGGGGATTGGCGCGCAGCCCTCGGTGCCGACCTACAGAGAGGTGCGCTGGGGTGTTTCCGTAACCAGCGTCGGCCCTGTTTTCACAGTTACAGTGGTCCAAAATCTAGAGGCAACTCAGGTCAACGAAGAAATGGCAAACGCATCCCACATCGCTCCAATGTTTGGCGCTGCTGCGGATGCTGCCGTTAAGTGGCAAGTTGGGCTTTAACTGTTTAGATGGACAGCGTGAAACAAAACATTCTAGACACGTACCCACAGGTGACGGTGCAGCTGCTTCCTGGGCGTGGGTGGGAAGAGGGGTCTTACACCCTCATGACGCCATGAAGCGGGCACGCGTGTCTTGTTGCTGGGGTTTCACCTGCTATTCTGTCGAGTCGCCAGCAGAAATCGTAACTTGCCCCTTGACGGCAACAGGTAACATTGAACAAGCTTTCGACTTCTGCTGGATTAGCTGCGATTTTCTTTCCTTCTGAGAGTTATAGGTGCAGATCAAAGCACGCCAGTGACATTCCCATGAGGAAAACTAGACCCACCCCAAGACACCTCTTCCTCAGTTATATGCATATCCTAAAGATTTTTTTTTTTTTTTGGCCAACTCATAAAAA